CGGCCCTACAGCGATCCCATCCGATCCTATAGTGATCCCCTCCCTCAGCCGGGCTACGGCGATCCCGTCCGATCCTATAGTGATCCCCTCCCTCAGCCGGGCTACGGCGATCCCGTCCGATCCTATAGTGATCCCATCCGTTCCTACAGTGATCCCATCCGATCCTATAGTGATCCCACCTGATCCTACAGCGATCCCATCTGATCCTACAGCGATCCCATCTCTCAGCCGGGCTACGGCGATCCCATCCGATCCTATAGTGATCCCATCCGATCCTATAGTGATCCCCTCCCTCAGGCGGGCTACGGCGATCCCGTCCGATCCTACAGTGATCCCAGCCTTCAGCCGGGCTACGGCGATCCCGTCCGATCCTACAGTGATCCCATCCGATCCTATAGTGATCCCATCCGATCCTACAGTGATCCCCTCCCTCAGCCGGGCTACGGCTATCCCATCCGATCCTACAGCGATCCCATCTGATCCTACAGCGATCCCATCCCTCAGCCGGGCTACAGCGATCCCATCTGATCCTATAGTGATCCCATCTGATCCTATAGTGATCCCCTCCCTCAGCCGGGCTACGGCGATCCCATCCGATCCTAGAGCGATCCCATCCGATCCTAGAGCGATCCCATCCGATCCTAGAGCGATCCCATCCGATCCTACAGCGATCCCATCCGGTCCTACAGTGATCCCATCCGATCCTATAGTGATCCCCTCCCTCAGCCGGGCTACGGCGATCCCGTCCGATCCTATAGTGATCCCAGCCCTCAGCCCGGCCCTACTGCGATCCCATCCGATCCTATAGTGATCCCATCTGATCCTGTAGTGACCCCATCCCTCAGCCGGGCTACGGCGATCCCATCCGATCCTACAGCGATCCCATCCGATCCTATAGTGATCCCATCTGATCCTACAGCGATCCCATCCCTCAGCCGGGCTACAGCGATCCCATCTGATCCTATAGTGATCCCATCTGATCCTATAGTGATCCCATCTGATCCTATAGTGATCCCCTCCCTCAGCCGGGCTACGGCGATCCCATCTGATCCTATAGGGATCCCATCCGATCCTGTAGTGACCCCATCCCTCAGGCGGGCTACAGCGATCCCATCCCTCAGCCCAGCCCTACAGCGATCCCATCCGATCCTATAGTGATCCCATCCGATCCTATAGTGATCCCATCCGATCCTATAGTGATCCCATCCCGGTCCTACAGCGATCCTATCCGATCCTATAGCGATCCCACCCCTCAGACCGGATCCTATAGCCATCCCATGCCGATGCTATAGCGATCCCATCCCCATCCCATCCCTCATCCCATCCTATCCCCATCCCGATCCCATCCCGGTCCCGATGCAGCCCCGCTGAGGCTGAGGCAGGTGGGTGCCCGGTGGGCCGGGATCCCCCGGTGTCACAGCTGGCCTGGGAAGGAGTGGAAGGAAATTGGCCGTGTTTTCTGTGGCGTTTTCCCCGCTGTGAAAAATCCCACCTCCAGCTCCCTCAGCAGAGCGTTCCTGTCTTGTTTTAGGCTTTTGGAGCCATCCCTGTGTCCCCAGCCTGGGGAGCAGTGCAGAGTGCCCTGCTCTCCACTGCTGTTGGCGTTCCCTCTGCAGTTCGTGGTGACAGCCCGCAGAGGTTTGGGGATGAACAGCAGTGGGGAACACTTGCCAGTGGGGTACAGGCATTGTCCCGATGGCCTGGGCTGGCTGCATCACTCCTTGTCCCCTGGACTGACAATTCTCTTCATAGTGTTAACATTTTGGTGTAAACTTCATGTAGCAAAGCGTGAATTTTTCTGAAATTTAATTCATTTCCCCCATTTATTTCCCTCCAGTTATTAGTGTTCTCTGCTTCCAATAAAACACTTGAGGTGCGTGCCATGAGGAAATGCTAAGTGGAAAGTGGGGTTAAATATGATCAAAATGAATTCATGATGATAGAGCTTTATATGACACTTGGATGCAGAAGAACTCTGCTTTTTGAGCTCACAATAAATTTCCAAGACCAAACAAAGCAGATTTTCAGATTCAGTGTGTTGATGCAGTGTGCTAACAGGATCTGTTGATGTCATATTATCTGCAGGCAGCCATGGGAGTTACACCTCTGCTAGCCAGACCTTCCTTCAGGCTTGGAAATCTCTCTCCTGCAGGGATTCCCAGGCTGGGTTTGTGGACA